ACAATGGTTGGTCAATGTTGGGGAATAAAAGAGGGGTTGTTTTTGGTCATTAAAAGGGGACAGGGCTGGGTATTATTTATGGGTATTTTGGAGTTATGACTTTGGGTTACTGTGAGGGAAAACATGGGCAGGAAGTAGGGGATGGAGGTGGGTCATGGTTTTGGCTCTTTGTCGGTGTTGTGTTGGGATTGTGAGGTTTATTTGGGCAGGGAATGAAAGGAAGGAAGAGAGGGTTTTACTGGTTTATTAAAAGGCTTAAAAGAAGGAAAATAACAACAAACAAAAAGGTTTTGGTTTATACACTCTTATTTTCGGCCATGGCTAAAATAAGAGTAGGAAAAACTTTATTTTGAAAAGGAAATATTTTGGATGTTTTGGGATGGTTTGGACTGAAATGGGAGTAGACCACAGAACCCTCGGGTCAAACGGAGGTTGTTTTGGCCTTTCGGGTTTAAGGACCATTTGAATTCAACTAAAATGGATCATAATATTTGAATATAAGTCCTTTGGTTCTTATGATAGTGTAAGGCGTGAGTGAGAGTTTCATGGGGCTAGGCTCGGGTATAACAACATTTGTCTCTATCCATTAAAAGTGTTACATTTCATAACATCGCTGATGGAATTAGGCATTTGTCTCCATCTATTTTGGAATTAGGTAAGTTTTTTTGATTTCTCAGTATCGCTTTTCACAGCCACCAAGTTCAAACTTGTGGATGGGGATTGATTTACTGATTTACCAAGTTTTTTTCCCATCTATTCTTGGATTTTCAACATACGGACATCAATCATTAGTTATTTCATGATGAATCATGTGAGTTCATTTTTTATGTTGTTTTTATATATTTAATTCTTCACCTTAGCATTGTATATTTAAAGTCATGGTAATGCATTTTTCGATTATGTAAATGCTCCTTATAACCACAAGTCAGGTTGATTGCATTTTTCTTTAATATTATTTATTTAGTTGGTTTTTTGCATTTTCAGCTTTTGTAAATTCATTATCTTACACAAATTTATGTTAAAAAAGATGTTTTAGTGTTTTGATAAATTTACAATTCATGATATTTTTTTATTCTAATCTCTATTTTTTGGACTTTTGTCATACTCATACATGTGCTAATTGATATACATTGTGAATTTTTTTTATTTGATAACTGAAACTTATGGTGTAATTTCAAGTTTTAATATTCCATTCCTTAGGTATTATTGCATTTTGTATCACGGATAATGCAGTTCTCTCCCTTTTCCAATGCATTTGTATACTATCTAGTCTAACATTTTAGGATTAGCTGATTGGGTATAGAGAAGAGAACCTTTATTGTCAAAATCGCACCTTATTGGAATTGAGTTTTGGACTCATGGGGAACAAATTAAGGTGTTAATGACCTCTTATGCATCATTTACTTTATTAGTATTTTACTAATGATTCTTGAATGAGATTGGTCTTAAAAACCAGGATGCACCATGTGTATTGAAAATGAGATTGGCTGTCAACTTCTATAATTTATGTTTTAACCAAGTCTTATTTATTATATGTAACTATATTAGTGACTTACATTACATTACATGCAGCAATACACCCTTAAAATGCATTGTGATACATCTAACTGCATACGGTTAAGTTTTAAATAACCGTTGAAGAGTTAGATGATGATGATGGTGTACCTCGCGATGGTGAAGATGAGCTAAATGAAGAAGCAATTGGAAGAGATGAATTAGATCGGTTGTAGTTGGAGTTGGGGGTAATAAACAAGCAAACAATAACAACGATTTGTAATTTACCTTTAATTCTAGTTTACTTCATTTTTTCTGTATGTTCTAATCTTTTTTATTTTTTTCTTTTCTTTATACTCCAATGTGGAGCCTAGCAATACAGTGAAAGAAGAATAGATGAATTAGATGGAGATTAGGACAAAATATAATAATGTAAGCTAATGTTACTATTAGTTAACTTTTGTTTTGAAAAAGGGTGAGCAATAACTCTAACACTGTGGACCAGATGTTTTTCCTTGATGTGAGGATATCAACAAGATGTATCCAAGGCATAAACTTGTCCTCATCCTACTTGGTTCTTACATATTAGTTGAAGAAAATGAAAGGAAGGAATATATTTCTAAAGTGATAGCTCCATCGTCTAATTTAAAATTGATGCATTTGCAATAATATGACATATCGTATGCTATTTATTGCTTTACAGGTGCGTCATCCTTAGAGACAATGATAAATGCATACGGATAGAAATGCATACGAATAGGATAATGATTTTGTAACAAACATCCATAATACAATTATTCTTGTTCGCTTGAGACCCCCCATACATATTATAGGAGATGATTCATCAAGATGATCAATGTACAAAGAATGCAAAGTCTATTGACGTAAATGTACTATCCACTTAATATAATGCACCTGACACATCACGTTGTTTTATTTAGTGCATAAAACTTGCACCAATACAAAATCATGCCCAATGCACTACAGTTTGTGCTTAGGTGAACTATTTCGAAAAAATTAAGCCATATCTAACTTTTTTACTAGAACACCAAAATACATGAATGATTAAAATGTCAAAGATTCTTGCATCCTGGAAATTAAGGCTCTTTTCCTCACACTCCGTACTCTCTGCAATCATCCAAGTTTTTGGCACATTTATTCTCTCTTGTCATGACTCTTAATTAATGCATTCTTTATGCGGCCACTCCTACAAATGGAAGATGATCTATTTGAATTGGCCTCTTAAGATTATTTTCAAGCATAAACAAAGTGTGTGAATTCCTTTTATGCACTCTCATTATGCCCCCACCTGCAGTATCAAAGATTAGAAACACATTATGCATCTACGATTCTAACCTTTTTGTAATAACATAAAAAATAGGCATTACATTTCTACCTCTGAACATAGCATTATAGTATTTCATTTACCAAAAATACAAATACCTGTCTTAGAATTTAGATCCACACCTCCACCAATGTCTAAATACCACCAGGGAAATGCATATACTCACTATTTGGTAAGTGAAATGCATCATGGAAGGTGGTTGCAACAGAGGGAAACCAATGAAATGATCATGTAATGAACTTGTAGATAAAAATCTTATTTGGTGAAAAAACTAAATTCATAAAACAACATCATCTAATGTACTTACTGTCATGCTCATAAGAAACGTAATAGCACATCAATACCAAAGTCCTTTGAAACAAACACGAAACTATCAAATGCAATACATTTCACACCAGATGCAACATGATTAACTGGAAAACATGACACAAAAAAAATTAACTCACGATTTTTCAAGGAGCGAATTGAACTAAAATAACATCAATTTTGAAAAGAGAGGTTGATTCATGCAAGAAGGCATTCATAATTAGTTCAATTAATAAATTCATTCCTATTACTTCCCACACAAAAAGATTAGATATAGTGCATCAAAAGGGCATACAAGTTTTATATGAAGCAAGTTAATATTCATGGTCTAAGAGCACATATTTAAAAACGCATACATATGCAGTTAGATTAGTCGCTCTGCATTTTCAGTTCTAGACAATGCATTTTAAGTTCTAGACAATGCATAACATTCTATGACCATAGATCTACAGAACACCAAACCAATCTAACCTCTACAAGAAACAAGAAAACACTTAAATTAAGAATGCAATAGCTCTACAAATCTTAAACACTTTTTTTCAATTAAATATTAACACATTCAAAATGCCATCAACACCATGTCCTCGCACTAAACTATGGATACCAAAAAAATTTTCAATCAAAGCAATAACAAAATATATATGACAAGTTTTCACCTATTTTGCGGACTTCTGCTTGACACTTTCCTGCCTCTTCACCGATGTTGCAGCGCCTCATTTTTTATTGCAATATTACTCATTGGCAGAAAGGATTTTGTGTTCAAATCTGCTTTCGAGTTGTTTCTATGGTAAAAATGGAAGAATCCAGGTCTTTACACTATTCGACAAGGAAAGTCGATGAAACCGGAAAGTGAATTATTCTTTAAACGATCCGGCAAATTTTTCTAATTTCGGATGACACTTATGCCCCTCAAATTAGATTTGTTCCTATTTCAAAGCACGGTCATTCCTACTTTCCATTTTAGAGTTGATAAACTAATCTACTAAGAGTTTTGATCTCAGCCGCACATTACACCTAATCGTGTGTCTATTATTTATTCTTATTTCTTTCACAAAG